GTTTCTGGACAATGATCATCACAATATCAAAGTCATGTGATGGATGCGTACCAGAAATATCAGACATGTCGTCCAATCTTGAGATCAACAGCAACCCAGGAAACAAGGGTCAGACAACAAGGGTCAGATCTGCAGATCATGTTTCTTGCAGATTAGGTATCACCAAAGCCAGCTTCTTTCAGCAACAATTTAGAGGATGCTATGATCGAAGGATTTAGATGTATAGAAGATTATGAAGCAAGAGGCTGCTCTCTCTCTCTCTCTCTCAGGTATTTATAAATGTATATGCATATGTTTCGATAGAATTATGTATAAATGTCACGTTATATTGTATATATAATATCATACATATATACATATATACACATATACATATACACATATATACACATATAACTTTACACATATACACGTATATATGTGTATATACATATATATATTATGTATATATACATATATAAATACATATTTATACATATGTATACATATATATATATACATATATATATATATATACATATATATATATACATATATATATATACATATATATATATATACATATACATATATATATATATACATATACATATATACGTGTATATATATATACGTACACGTATATGTATATGTATATATACGTACATATATAATCATCATATATATATATATATCATCATATTCAGGTATATAATGCATAGTACAGTATTATCTATATTATTATGTATCTGCATTCAATTTCAATTCTGATGATGTCATTCCGCTTCCAATCCATGGGCCACATGTCCCCAAACCTGGGCAGCTCCTTTCAGCACCGGCACCTGCAGCGGGAAACTCCCCATGGATCATTGATTGATTCAAGGGTTCAAAGTTTAAAGATCCAATGTTTATACATTACATGTTTGACTAGTATAATGATTATAATTGATGTTGATGTTGTACATGTTTGATGTTTGAAACATATTGTCATATCCACTGGTATGTTTGTTTTTATTTCAAACATGTTTCGAACATGAAATAACGTGCGGTAGACTAACATAGCTATTGAATGCTATTGAATTGAAATCTGTTGGTTTCCTAGGAAATCATCCAAACATTTTTTTTCCGTAGTTTTTTGCATGTTCCCTGCAGGTGTTTTATCGATTCTAAAACTCTGCTGATGTTGGCGAGATCGGGATTTAGACACTGGCCGCACAGAGGACCTTGATGAAATGAATCGCAACGCATTGCACAGCTCTGGCCTCACCGAATGTTGGGGGCAACTTGTGCCAACAATTCCATATCAGCGCAGCGCAGTGCTTCGACCTGCGCGTAACTCACGAATTGACGGTGCGTATTCTGCGTTGGCATAGGCAAGGTTCCACGATGAGAACTTGATTAAACTCGGAAAATATATATATATACACATATACATATACATAAACATACATATACGGGATCTTGTTGACAAGCAAGACAATCGATGCGACATGAATGTACAGTATCTGCTGGCCAGCAACTCTTGATCGTCTCAACCATGTGCATGTAATACATATAAATTATAAATAGAAATGGGATTAAATGGGTTTGTACATCTAGGGCACACATGTTTATGCCAATAGCCGGGTTAACAACCCGGGAGAAAGCCTTAATTTTAGCCGTTCTGATTGCTCCCGCCGCTGCAGGTGCCAACATCCGGTGCAGCGTTATTGCTCATGGATGTTGCAATCCCTACAATATTCCACCATGTGGCAACTTAGCCAAACGAGCCAACAACTCAAGGCGAGCATGATGAAAAGAGGTCTTTCTTTGTGCGTGCAGGCGGATGAACGCCCAAAACCCAAGCAAAAAACCAGATAAAGCCCACGAACCCGAATGCTCACACGTATGTTAATGGTACAGATGTCAAAACACATGGTTATGCAGTCACGCACAATACCTTTCTGCAATAGTTTATTTGAACAGTCTTGTACATGTTTCCCTTGTTACCAATCTGCAGTGTGGAGTGGAAAGTGTAGAGTGTGGAGTGTGGAGTGTGAAGTAAGGAGTGTGGAGTGTAAAGTGTGGAGTGGGGGTGTAGAGTGTATAATGTGTAGAATGCGGAGTGTAAAGTGTAGAGTGTGGAGTATGGAGTGTAAAGCGTAGAGTGTGGAGTGTAGAGTGTGGAGTGTAGAGTGTAGAGTGTGGAGTGAGGAGTGTAAAGTGCAGAGTGTATAGTGTGGAGTGTAAAGTGAGGAGTGTAAAGTGTGGAGTGAGGAGTGTGGAGTGTAAAGTGAGGAGTGTAAAGTGTGGAGTGAGGAGTGTGGAGTTTGTAAATTGTAGAGTGTGAAGTGTAGTGCGGAGTGTGGAGTGTAGAGTGTAGGAGTGTGGAGTGTGGAGTGGAAAGTGTAGAGTGTGGTGTGTAGAGTGTGGTGTGTAGAGTGTGGAGTGTGGAGTGTAAAGTGTGGAGTGTAGAGTGTGGACTGTAAAGTGTAGAGTGTGGAGTGTGGAGTGTAAAGTGTGGAGTGAGGAGTGTAAAGTGGAAAGCGTGGAGTGTAAAGTGTAAAGTGTGGAGTGTAGAGTGTATAGTGTAGAGTGTAAAGTGTAGAGTGTGGAGTGTGTGAGTGTAGTGTAAGTGTGGAGTGTAAAGTGTGGAGTGAGGAGTGTAAAGTGTGGAGTGTAGTGTGGAGTGTGTAAAGTGTGGAGTGTGGAGTGTAAAGTGTGGAGTGTGGAGTGGAAAGTGTGGAGTGTAAAGTGTGGAGTGTGGAGTGTAAAGTGAGGAGTGTAAAGTGTGGAGTGTGGAGTGTGTAAAGTGTAGAGTGGTGGAGTGGAGTGTGTGAGTGTAAATGTGGAGTGTAAAGTGTGAGTGTGGAGTGTGTAAAGTGTGGAAAGTGTAGAGTGTGGTGTGTAGAGTGTGGAGTGTGGAGTGTAAAGTGAGGAGTGTAAAGTGTGGAGTGTGGAGTGAGGAGTGTAAAGTATAAAGTGTGGAGTGTACAGTAAAGTGTGGAGTGTGGAGTGCGGAGTGTGGAGTGGAAAGTGTAGAGTGTGGAGTGTGGAGTGTAAAGTGGGGAGTGTGGAGTGTAGAGTGTGGAGTGAGGAGTGTGGAAAGTGTAAAGTGTGGTGTGGAGTGTAAAGTGTAGAGTGTGGAGTGTGAAATGTGGAGTGGAAAGTGTAGAGTGTGGTGTGTAGAGTGGAGTGTGGAGTGTAAAATGTAAAGTGTGGAGTGTAGAGTGTAAAGTGTAGAGTGTGGAGTGTGGAGTGTAGAGTGTAAAGTGTAGAGTGTAAAGTGTAGAGTGTGGAGTGTAAAGTGTGTGTGTGGAGTGAGGAGTGTAAAGTGTGGAGTGTGTGTGTGTAAAGTGTGGAGTGTGGAGTGTGGAGTGGAAAGTGTGGAGTGTGAAGTGTGGAGTGTAAAGTAAGGAGTGTGTAGTGTAAAGTGTGGAGTGTGGAGTGTAAAGTGTAGAGTGTGGAGTGTGGAGTGTAAAGTGTAGAGTGAAGAGTGAGGAGTGGAAAGTGTAGAGTGCAGTGTAAAGTGTGGAGTGTGGAGTGTAAAGTCTCAGGTGAGGAGTGAGGAGTGTAAAGTGCAAAGTGTAAAGTGTGGAGTGTAAAGTGTAGAGTGTGGGGTCTAAAGTGTAAATTGTGGAGTGTAAAGTGTAGAGTGTGGAGTGCGGAGCTTCCCCCAAAGACACAGCGACGCCACAGGAAAACCAGAGACTCGAGACGAGACACGTGGGTGCAAAAAAAAACGAGCATTTCGTGGGATACATCCTCCAATTTTGATCTTTTCGACATGTTATCAAACAGGTTGGAATGTCACAAAGTGCCGCGCCTGCCACGCATGGCAACCTGCTTGGACACATTCGAATAGGACATGTTTTCCAGCTTCCCCCATAGACACGGCGACGCCACAGGAAAACCAGCGACTCGAGACAAGACACGTGGATGCAGAAAAACCAACATTTCGTACGAGACTTCCTCCAAATGTGACATTTTCGACACATTATCAAACAGGTTGGAATGTCACAAAGTGCCACGCCTGCCACGCAAAACGACATGACAACCTGCTTGGACACATTCGAATAGGAGAGGTTTTCCAGCTTCCCCCATAGACACAGCGACGCCACAGGAAAACCAGCGACTCGAGACAAGACACGTGGATGCAGAAAAACCAGCATTTCGTACGAGACTTCCTCCAATTTTCACAATTGGCAACATAACAAAAAGGACAGGTTTTGCAGCTTCCCGCATAGACACGGCGAAGCCACGGGAAAACCAGAGACTCGAGACGAGACACGTCTTGCGCACCAAAACGAGCATTTCGTACGAGACTTCCTCCTATTTTGGCACTTTGCAGCTTCAAAATCGACGTTTTCCTACGAGTTTTCCTTAGAACCTGAAAATTTGCAACCTCAAAATCGATGTTTCGTGCGAGGCTTCCGTCAATTTTCAGCACATGTCAGAAAATGCCACGCCTGCCACGGAATTTGCACCTTGTCACCACTTGACGCAGCCCTGCGATTTACAAAAAACACGCAACAGGACACGTCTAAAGTGCTGCGCCTGCCACGAAAAATGACGATGGACACGTCCAAAGTGCTGCGCCTGCCACGAAAACTGCAACATCTTCTGAAAACGTCACAAGAGTATTGCGCCTGCCACGCAAAACGATTTTCAACACGTTGCAAAACACGTCTGAATGTCACGAAGTGCCACGCCTGCCACGCGACACGAAGCAACGACACGTCTGAAACCTCCAAAAATGACCACCTCTGCAGAACTTCCCATAGGCACGGCCATACGGGGATCGCGCGGACGGTTGCGAACGGTTGCGAACGGTTGCGGACGCGGAAGCAACGTCGAGCGAACACACCCTCAACCCCCAGACCCCCAGAGTGAAACGGGAACCCTTGCTACGCATTCGGGAAAAGGTTCGGATCTCACAAACCTATGGGAAGAATGGGACAAGGTACACATGTTTCCAATGATGCAACTACGGAAACATAACACCCTTCCAGTGTTTCATGCCTTGTCGTGCCTTGTCCACATTATGGTGTGCGCAAATTGCCCAGGGTCGCCACCACGGCCATTTCCTTGTTTATACTTAAGAAAAGATATGAAAAATTCTTTAACCACTCTTTGATGATGTGGGGTAAAAACACATTAATTCGTGGCCCATGAATCCCCACCGATCCAAGGTTTGATCCTGCAAATCCAACTCCATTTTTTGAACATCTCCATGATTTTCACAATGATAAAAAGGTAGATTTCATACGTGTAGTGCACTGCACATGTGTATAACTGTGTAAATATAATATGTATATACTGTAAAAACATGTATATATATATATAAACCATTATCAAATACAGTATGTGTATATTATTTATATAGACTGTATGAATGCGTACATACATACAGTACTGTATCCTCATGTTGTTGCTAAAACAAATGTATTCATCGCCCTCTCCCCACACATTCCTGCATATGTAAGGCAACATTTTGCAGTGAATCTAGGACACATGTTTCTAACATGGCACATGTTCTTCTCGAATCATTTTTGCCGATCGCTGTTTCTCAGATCCTGAAAGGCAACTGAAAGGTAAACGGCCCAAAAATTTTCCAACATCCCTATTCATCCACAATATCATGGTGGTAAATCCCATGTTCAATCCATCTTATGAGGATAAAATGCAATTTTTCACCCAACCTGAAAAGTTTGGCCCGAATTGGGGATGAACCAACCAGGATTTTCCCCAATATTCCATGAATACCTCATCAATAATTCATGGTGAATCCCCCGTATATTCCATTATACCACCATTTTCATGGTGAAATCGCGCTTAAACTGCTAGGCTATATATGTTCCGTCCCTATTTTTCAATTGTATCCCATAGTTTTGATGATTAAAACCACTATTTCGATGGTGAATTCCCCGTTAAATAATAAACCAAGCGTGATTTTCTGCTCCTTCAGCATGGGCCCCAACGATGCCTGTGCAACGGGTCCGGGGACCCAGTCCACTTGCTCGATCTCCTGCGTGTTTCAATGACTTCAGTGTGGAAATGCTAACCATGACAATCGTCCATAACTCGGACGTTTTCTAACTAAATGTCCTTTGATCATTGTGATAGTGAGCATATTATGTATGTATATATATGTGTGTGTGTTTATATACATAGTGGACTAGACTGGTTACATATATATATACATATTTATGTTCATAATCATCCTAACGTATTCAAGTTTCAGTGATATGTGTTTGATTTGTTCATGTGTTATCTTCTCCATGTTGACTTTATATAATATATGTACATGCATACAGTGCAGATGTTCGACTGTAGCTGCTGATTTGACCCAATGAGTCAAGTTAGTTAGCAGGCATCGAAGGTGCACACGGAAACATGTTCTTTAGGCCAAGACAATACGAATACATCTGATCCATGGCCATGCGAGTCCGGTATAATCCAACATGGCCATGCGAATAGACGTAGATGTTGATAGGACATGCCCATTGCCATGTTCCATGCAAAACTGGCTACAATCAACACTTGTTGAATGGTCCCTAGTTACTGATAATATGGGAGGCCCCATCTTTGATTTTAATTATCACTGTGTATCTTTGGGACAACTTATTTTGGGACAAGTTCATATTGTTGGCTGTGTCTGAAAATGGTGTATTACGTTACACCCCAAACATTGCATTTCAAATCATGAAATTATTCATCATTAGCTATTTAATTATCCCACATTGGAGGGTATCTAGGGGCAAAACTTCCTACTGACTTTTGATATTCCCCAAAGATAACAGACTTTCGCAAGCATGGATCCAGTTGTCACATGTTGTTGTACCCATGGCAACAGAAAATTATCCATGTATAGACCATTTCCTCATTCAAGCTTTATTTACAGTGGATTTTCCCAGCCCGCCATCTTTGAGGACACCGGAGGTATCCCATAGTTTTGATGCTTGAAAACCATCGTTTTAAGGGACCCTGTTGCACAATCAACCAGGAATTTCTTCATCAATACTCCATATTCCATTAATATACCATCATGTTTGTTGGCGAATAACATGGAGCTTCGTATTGCCCGCGGGTTGACATTGACCTCGCCTCAGGGTTTTTCCCGTTTGCTGCCATGGACACCAGGGCCACTGTCACAGGGGACAAGGATCCTGGTCATGTTTCAGGGTTGGTGCTTGAGACCCTTCACCAAAAAATCATCAGTATATATTTTTACAAGGTGGGATAGCTGAGGTGGTGCTTCGCTAACTCCAATAACTATGGTTGATGGCAATGAAATAACAGTTGATGGCGGTTATAAACCAAATCGGAAGCAAATCATAACTGGGTTGACCTTGTAGGAATCACGATAAGACTTCCTGACACCACCAAGTTGGGTGTTGTCATTATCGTTGTGAAAGTTCTGTTGCGGAACAGTTTCCTGGCATCTTGGGACAAAAAGTCTTCAGATAAAGCTGTGATCACAGTTGGCACGATACAAAAACAAAGTCAACTGAACTGGTTTCAAAATGTTTCAACTGGTATACCTCACAAAGTATACCACACACTTTGGGTCAACTGGTTGGCACGAGTATACCTTCCACTTTAACGACCCCGGTTGGTCAAAACCCACGGCGGCCCGCCTGGCTGCAACGGGCCCATCTCCAAGGCCACGGAGGCGCCCACGAAGACACTGTCGCAACAGCGCAGCGCGCAGGCGGCGACGCCTTCGCCTGGGATGTTTGGAGAAAAACTATAAACATATATATATAACTATATATATAAATGTAATTATATGTATATGTATGTATATATCAATGTGTATATATGTATAATTTTCAACTTCCAAGCACCTTCTTAGGAATTGTTGTGGAGTATGATTTAAGGGGGTGTCTTGTAACTTCGCAGGAGGTGTTTGGATCAATAGGGATATATAGATGATATAAAATTGCATCAAGATTAATTATGTAAGTATATATATATGTGTGTGTTACATTATATGCCCATACATTTATGTAACATGTGTATAGATATATGTATGTGTGCATCGGAGATCAGACACGTATTTCTGTGCCAACCGCCAATTATGTTGGTACCGGTAGAAAGTTCCTCTGATACCTTAAGAACACAGTTTCCAACAGTTCCATTGCACACGACTGCAAAATGGAAACTAGATGGGGGGTTCCATAAATGGGGGTACCCCAAAATGGATGGATTATAATGGAAAAACCTGGAAAAACCCAACAAAATGGATGATTTGGGGGTACCCCGATTTCAGGAAACCTCCATATGGAAAGTGTTGCTGCCCAGAAACCATAGTTGCAGCAGTAGGCTCGGTTCAAAGCCATTGCTGCCAGTTCTTTTCCATCCTAGGGCCGTCCGGGGCCGTTCCGCCGTTCCATTTTGTCAAAACCCTGGTGGCCCTGCATTTGGGTGTTTTCATCCCGTGAACAAGTAATACTTATAACTCGGGTGCATCATTTCCAGATGGAGATTAAGACAGACTAAAGTTGTGATGAAATTGGGATTCATAATTAAGACAGACCAAGAGATTTAAGATCATTGAAGATACAAGTACTTGAATCCTGGCTGGAGGTGTAAACGCTCCAAGAAGTGCGGGCAGTTATTGTTTCCTGTAAGATCATAGGTTGTCCCCCCGTGAATATGTAGAGATAACGCACAACACCAGACAATGGCCATTCTTTTGGATGGTTCCCTAAAAAGCAAAGGTTAATCTAGATTCCTGGGGTGTGTTTATATCTATCATAGAATGAGGCAGACAAATTATTTCAGATATATACATCATTACCAATCTTCTGCTTGGTGGTTCGAACCCTCATGAAACAGAACAAATATAGTCATTGGAGTTCATCCGCCTTTAATCATCATTAATTATCATCATTCTCATCATTATCAATATTATCATCATTATTATCATCATTATCCTCATTCTCATCAGTCAGCCTATTATCATCAATGATCACTATTAGATTGATTGTCAACAGTCACTACCCTCTGGTAAACTAACATAGCTATTGAAAATGGCCATTTATAGTGGATTTACCCATTAAAAATGGTGATTTTCAATAGCTATGTTAGTTTACCAGAGTGTATTACAATCGTTTTAATACAGCACCAACCAGCAGCCGGCACCTCATTGGTTCCCATCGGCACAGCATGCACAGCGGCCCGCAGAAAGTCGCCGGGCGGCGGGCCGCCGCCGCCGGTTCAGCCATGACCTGACGATGGTGCCATGGGACTTCACCATGGAAAATTCCATGGTGATTTCTGGGGATTTGGTCAGGATTTATGGAGATTTATGGTGGATTTCACATGGTGAATCACCATCAAAGATATTCAAAACTAGGGATTTAACCAACTATAAAAACTGGCGATGGTGATTGAACCAACTATACAGCTTATGGGTTTGTATGTTCAGGAATTGATACAACGTTATCAACGTTATGATGCGATTTTGATCCCCTGATTCAACCAACAAAATACATGGATAATGGATGAGAATGTGGTAAACCTCATGTAATCAATGGCTACAAATTGTGGATAATGATGCACACACCACACATTTCTGGTAAGTCATTGGGGATGGCTTATGCAGTTTACAGAATGGCTTTGGATTTATCACACAAGTATACAAATAAACAAATCTTAGGAGCTGATTAATATTCAGATTTCAAACCAGGGTGTTGTAGGGTTTTAGCCCAGTTGACTGACCAGACTGACCAAAGAAAACACATTCCAACAACATGATAAGACTCTCAAGAGGACTGTGTACGCTATGTACAAGTGATGCATGGCCGGGTGTAGACTCTGAATCTGTTCAGGGGTGTAGTTTCAATTCTCTTTCATGGACTAGAATACAATCAGTCTATTCCTCCATAAACAACAACGTGTTCTCTCTATCTTTTCGACAGAATGTCGACTGAGCCACGAACATTCCAAGCAACATGAACATCCACACATTGAAAAAGATCAAGCAAAGAAAAATCCGATCGACTTCATGAACAGGATGCTTGGAAGCAACAAGTAATAGATTCATGACATCTTCAATGAGAATCGAATCCTTCAATCTCTGGGCCATCTTTCCTGATGTTCTGCCATCTTTGGGCCATCTGCTGAAACTAAATCAACCATCTTTGGGCCGATCCTCAACTCTGGCCAGGTGAGCAAATGCGCATTGGCCGCGCGGGGCCCGGTGGTTTGGAATCGGGGTACAAGTCACCATAGTCATAATATATAATTACATATATATATATATATATATGTAATTATATATATATGTAATTATATATATAATTATATATATAATATTTATACAATATATACAGATGTCATAATCAGAATCCCCTTGGGTTGATCTTATTGGAGTCGGAGAATTCCAAACCCCAAAGCCGCAGCTATCCAGTGGATTCCAATGGTGGAATGGCACAAGCGACAAGCCGACAAACATCAACAGCTGCCCCAGGACCCATGACAAGACCAACGAGATTGGCTCCCAAACTCTGTCCTGACCTTGTTGACCTTGTTGGTATCTGAAGCCACTTTCATGCGCTCATTGGAAAAGATCAGGTTCATCTAGAACAGATTAGATATGATTAGATCATATTAGATCATGTTGGAATGTTCATCTATCCAATTTATCACAATTTGATGTATCATGATGCATTCTGGTGTGGATCTATAGCGAAACAAAAAGATGAACTCTAAAGGTCGACGCACCTTGAGGCGCGCATGTTGTTACATGTGGGTTGAAACAATGTGAATAAGACAAGGTGATGCCCCCAATCCTTTGCGAAGTTTATTTGTACCTAGGCCAACGATCGGCTTCATGGTAGATATATCATGATACATAACCAACTGGATGGATTTATAAACCAACAAACATAACTGGGGTGGGCATCAATATCACTCTGGATGAAATAGTGTTCACGCACCTCAATAGTTTAGCCATTTTAGGATAGTTACCTCTAGTATCCTCTAGTATATGATCATCACCAATATGGTTAGGGCACCTCTAAATGTACTGGTTTATCAACATCATTGACCCTATGAATATGGCTATGCCCATTTTCAGACACACCCACCTTTGTGCAATTCATCGAATTGCTCGGCGCAATTCCGCTATGCCAACAGCCAGTCCCGGAGCAGTTGCAGGAACTGGAACACCTCCGTGGCCACGTCCTGCGACGATGCCAATGATATTTGCTGTTCCCTACGGATTCCCCAGTCGACTGGTGGACCAAAAAGTAACCGGTTCACCTTCACAGGGGGACAACGGGGACAAGAACCATCCATTTTTTCGACAAATTTCTGGTGTCACACAGCACTCATCTTGCTCTAGATGCATGGAATATTCCTGAGATCAAAAAAAGAACTTGTCAGAAAAGCCAGCATAATGTTGGCAACCCAATCATAAACCCAGTATTTGGGGATGGTTGGAATCCCACCCATCAAAATGGTGAGTTTTTGGATGGTTTACTGCATTGCAACTCCGGTCCTCCTGATCCAAATTCTTATCCTCAGCTCAAGCTGGAAGAATCACCAGCAAAAGTTGGAACTCTTCAGGCCACCAATGATTGTTCAATGTTTATAATCCCCTCCTAAAATTGGAAACCTGCCAGAAACCATGGCTTAATAGTTTGCCCATTTAGGGGGTGTTTAAGGTGGATGGGATTAGATGATTAGCTGTTTGAAACCATTCCAGTCACCATCTGCGTGATTCCCGCTGCGGGCTGGTGATCTGCAAACAGTGGCGATGATCAAAAGATCTCTGATCCGGCAGCACGCGTGTAATCAATGCAGTCCCAAGACTCCCTGGATTGTCCATATCGGCTCGAAATATCCCGAAAGCTAGAACAGAACATTGTAGCAAATATACTGTGTAGTATGATACAGTACCATTATGCACGGATAATGTTATGAAGGTCATTGGCTACTGAACCCAATGCATCCCTGGCCTCGTTTCAGCTTTCTCCATCAATCATGTTTGCTTGTTAGTTTCAAACTTCCTACATGTCGCTACCACCAATCAACCAAGGGTATAGGCTAGGCCCATGAGACCATGAAACCATCTGGGAGAATCACTATACATGTAATATCATGTAATTATATACCCTCCATGGAAAATAGCCCATTTATAGATGGTTTACCTATTAAAAATGGTGATTTTCCATGGCTATGTTAAATAACCAGAGGGTACATGTTGCTTATGTAATATGTAACACTTCAGCTGAGAAGTTCAGCTAACGCCCGGGATTCCCATGGCTCCCATGGTTCGAGGCACGGGGTGCCACAACAGGCACTTCTGCTTGTAGCGGCTGCGCCTCTCACTCTGGGGCAACTGCTGACAGGACAACCTGGCTGGCGCAGTTTACCACTGGGCATCCGTGGTAGTTGCTGTTCACCATCCAAAAAAAGGAGGTCTTAATTGTGCCTCGATTGTTTCCCACTTTGCACTAGCTGGCTAAGGCCTGACCCTCCATTTTTTGTTGGTAGGTTAAACATGGTTACATATGTTAACCCAGTTATCCTAGTCATTCAAATTCCCACCTTTCTTGTTGCTTGTGAGGAGGATGGGATCAACTGAGCAGAGTCAAATGCCTATATTGGAAAATCCCCTCAAAAAATGGTTGGTCAATGGGGATTCCCAGTTCATGGATTATGCTGATTAGTCATTAATCCGAGTATAAAGGGAAGTGGCAGCATTGGAAAACAAACACCAACAACCATGTATCGATGTGTTAGATATTTTCCCTTTTTGATGCTGATTTTTGACTGTTAAATCCCCTTTGACTCACAGCACTAATCAATCCGTGTTTTTTAAACGAAAAAATGCATATGTCACCTTGTTGGCTATGTATCCCAAAAGATATCATTGCATTCCTCCGTAAATCTGTATGTCCCTGCAAGTTGTCATCATCATCATCATCATCATCGCCTTCATCGTCATCATCATCACCATCATCATCATCATCATCATCAACCGGGGCCAAGGTTAGTTAATCTCACTATGTTTATTCATGCCCATTATATATAGCAAAGTGGTCATACCACATGATAGCAAAGAAGTCATACCGCATGATAGGTTAGTTGATGTTCATTGATATCCCCTAATGCGCTAGTTAATAAACCCCGTTATAAGTTACTACATATTAGTGAATTGATATCCCATTACTCAACAACACAATAACTCAACGACATCATTAAAATGAAAAACACATTGTACAATATACTATTCATGTTTGTTTATCAACAATGCCCATGGGTATGCCATGATATTCCATCAAAGCCCATCGCATCACAATTAAACCCCAACAATCCCTCATCACATTCCATCCATAATAACCTATGGGACGGGACAATGGGTCCTGACCCCAACAGGTATACCATCAATATCTCCATGATCGTTTCACTTCGAGATGTGGTTCCTGCAAATGTGCTAAACCCACTTCTGGGACATGGGAGTGGGATCAACTAATGTGGTAAACCCAATAACAACCCCCAAGTTTACGCGAAATATATAAAGCTGGTCAAGAGCCATACTGACAGGGTCGCTCTCAATACCCCAGATACAAGTGGGCGGAAATTGCTAGACAAAGAGGATCAATCATTAACCACCATATTACCACCATTAACATGAATTCATCAACATTTATCAACCCATCACTTCCCCTTTTAATGTTCATGGCTTCAAGCCTTTCATCCAAGGCGCAGCTCAACATACAACGCCTGGGCCGCCGTCTGGGCTGCAGCACCCAGCGGCCACGAGACGCCACTGGGCAACGCAGGCGTCGACGTTGACTGGGAGGCACCTGGGGATGGTGCAGAAATGGGACTTGAAACGTAGAAATAAATGATGGTTCCATTACAATATGATCAATAATAGCTATTTCAGTCTCAAAAAAACTTGGTTAACCCATTGATTTATGTATTTAAGCCACAAAGAGCGGAGTTTGCCAACAAGTTTGTAATGAACCCACAGAAACCAGAATAAGCAAAAAATGGAATGTGTAACTAAAATTGGGTGTTTAACTAACAGAACATGAAGTACATACCATTCAATGTGTATTTAACTGCACAAATTGGATTTTGCCTGCAAGGCGCAAGCACAACAAATTGAACTTAACCAACACTAACCAATATTCAACAAATCACAAATGGGCATACTTGAAAATTAGGCACACCAAGGGCCTCAAATGTCTTTGTAGATCTTGACCCTACG